CTCTAAAGAGAGGAGGGGGATATGACGTATGCCGTAAATAAGCCAAATTTTGTCTTTTTTTGTTTCCGGGTTCCTACCCAAACCCTGAAACTGCATAGTGCTAGTGCAAGTGAAACAGATGCTCTCATCTGTCATGTCTCATGTTTGTCATCCAACCTATTATGAGTTGATGTACCATCACAAGGATCTTGGATATATATTCTGAGGGCTTCATTAGTTGCTTTAAGACACATGGTGATCGAGCTCTTGCAGCGGTAGCGCTTAAATTTTGGAATGCTGTGCCTGCTCCCTTACAGCCTGCTGACTCTGTGGTTTCTTTTGAAAGCCAACTGAAAACACACCTATTTTGACAGGCTTTTGGTTTTTTTGTGCAAATAGTTTTGCTAGTTGTGCACCTTTAAAAATATGTGGCTCACATAGTCACTTTGTCTTTATATTTTCTTTCTTGTTGTATAATGCTCTTGTGAAGCACTTTGTGACCTATGTCAGCAAAAAGTCCTATCTAAATAAATAATACTTGCTTTACTTGCCCTTGTCTCCACCCATTTTAAAAACATGTTCAGTGTTTATACCATGAACTTTAAGGGAACATATATCATGGCAAGGTGAATGAAAGCTTCTGGCCACAGGGAATTTTTCACCTTTATTCCTAATGCTACTTTTATGTTCAGAAATCCTTGTTTCCAACCCTTTTTTTTTTTTTTTACCTTTATGCTAACCCAAAGTGACATTTCAAGAGATAGACCACATATTTGAATCTACTAGAGATCATGTACTTGATGCTGAACTTTTTACTAATATGAGGATGTAAAAAAAAAAAACAAAAAAAAAAAACATCACCTTTGATCATAGCACTACACTGAGCACAGCTCAAATTACCACATAGTGATTTAGACAAAAGACATGTATAGAAGGTTCATAACAGTCAGCTCTAACCAAGGTATCTCTAGGGCTCCAGATGTGTTTATTGGCAAAGATAGGCAAATCTTTGAAAGACTGGCCTACTAATAACACACCGGGATAACTGGGAATACTTAGTAGCCAACACAATCTTTGAGTCCCTTTTAGACAGAGGTTTAGGTGCTAATAAAAGGTTTCTGTCTGTGTTTCTGTCTCTTGTTTTTGGATTAATGCCACAACCAGCTAAATATTGTTTAAGATTTTGGAGTTGTGCGCACCTCTATTTTTCACCAGCTAAACGGAAGCAAAATACCTTGATTGCACAGTATCATTGGACTGTGATAAGAGATGTAGAAAAGCTGGTTTTTACAGGAAGAGGAGTTCTGAATACCATTTGATTGATATAGTTGTTACAGTTGCTAACAACAACCACAACTGCAACTCACACTACCTTCACCTTGGATGAGGTCCGGATGGAGCTGAAGAGGCTCCGACCAGGCAAGGCGTCCGGCCCTGATGGCAGTACACCAGGAAACATCAAGTTGTGTGCTGATGAGCTATGTGGAGTCCTCTTGTACATTTACAACTTAAGTATGTCCCTTGAAAGACCACCAGTGTTGTGGAAGACGTCATGTTTGATCCCTGTGCCTAAGAAAGGCTGTCCCAGGGAATTAAATGACTATAGACCTGTGGTGTTAACTTCCTACCCCATGAAGGTCCTGGAGAGGCTCGTACTGGCCCATTTGTGACCCCTGTTGAAGGACTACCAAGACCCCCTGCAGTTTGGCTTCCAGGCAAATATGGGAGTGGAAGATACCATCATCCACCTGCTCCATTGGGCCCACTCCCATCTAGAGACGGCAGGCAGCGCTCTGAGACTCATGTTCTGTGATTTTCCGAGCACTTTTAACACCATCCAGCCCCTGCAACTGCCACCATGGCCACCAGGGGGCCCCCTGGTGGCCTGAACTACTGACTACTTGACCGGCAGACTGCAGTATGTGCGGCAGCAAGACTGTGTGTCTCGTACACTGGTCAGTAGCACAGGGGCCCTCCAAGGGACTATCCTAGCTCCCTTCCTGTTTAACCTCTACACATCTGACTTCAGTTACAGCTCAGAGTTATGCCACCTCCAGAAGTACGCAGATGACTCTGTGATTGTTGGATGTGTTAGAGAGGGACAGGAGGGGGAGTACAGAGGTCTAGTCAATGACTTCGCAGAGTGGTGCAGGCAGAACCATCTGCACCTCAACATAAAGAAAACCAAAGAGATGGTAATTGACTTTAAGAAGAAAAAAATACCAATCTCCCCAGTCTCTATTGGAGGGGAGGATGTGGAGATTGTACCGTCTTATAAATACCTGGGAGTCCACATTAATAACAAGCTGGACTGGAGGGAGAACACGCTGGCAGTATACAAAAAGGGCCAGAGCCGCCTCCACTTCCTGGGAAGGCTCAGGTCATTTGATGTCTCTGCTCCAATGCTGAATGCCTTCTACCATTCAGTGGTGGGGAGCGCACTGTTCTTTGCACTATCATCATGCTGAAGGCTGCAGAGGAAAACAAGATCAATAAGCTGCTGAAGAAGGCTGGGTCTGTCCTTGGGACCAGATTAGATCTAGTGAGTGTGGTGACTGAAAGGAGGATGTTACAGATGCTTTTGACCATCATGGACAACCACTCCCACCCACTACGTGACACCCTGACCAGGCAGAGAAGCTCTTTGACCAACCGGTTTATCCTGCCTTGGTGTTCCACAGAGAGACATAGATGCTCATTTTTGCCCACTGCCTTAAAGGCGCTGTATGTAAGAATGTGGCCAAAACGGTTACTGCACTCAAATTCAAAATACTGCCGCGAGTCGTGTCCGCCCCCCCCCTCCCCTACAGATTCGAGGTTGCTGGACAGCGGCATGCTGGAGACTGATTTGTTTGCCCACGGGCAGCTGCCGTGGCAGGGCTGCGTCGCCGCGTCCTTGATCTTCGGTTTTCCAGCGGACCGTTCGAGCAAGTCCGGCTTCTCTGCTGCTAACGCTGCTGCCAGGATACAGCTGAGGAGAAGCCGGCTGCTAATGCTATGTACTGGGACACTGCTAATGCTGCTTGCCGTGCTGCTGTAGCTCAGTCGTAACTGTAAATGATGCTGAGACTCTACTGACTGCGTGACTGGTAGACGGCGGTGGGTGGCGCAACAGGCCAAAACACAAATTCAAAACATAAACATGATTTG